AATATGTCTAAAGGCATGGGCGGATTATAAGACAGTGGGCCCCTGGGCATGCAAAAGGCCCCACCACCCCTTCTACATGGGAACTTACATAGTACTTAGATGGAGACCGCCTGGGAATACCAGGTGCTGTATCTTTTCACTTTAAAAACAGCAGAGGGCGTTGCTGCTCCTTCACTGGAGACAGAGCTTGGAAAAGCCTTTAAATGATCTCACCATGAGGCGAAAGAAAAGAGTAAAATAGTTTATTGGATGAGTAAAGATCAACAGAAGGCACACATACAGTATCTGAAGGCAGACGTCACACCAGTGTCAGTATCTCTCTCCAGCCTCCACTCAAACCACCATGTGATCATCATATAGCAAAATATACCATCACAACAATTTCTATCTGCAGGACTCAAAGTGTGTAAGTCATGCACCTTGGAGAGGCTGAAACTGATGCAATACATTAGCAGGCTAAACTCTGCAGCTCATAGTACTTCAAGCAAACGCAGCCTTTAGCAAAAATATATTCATATATAATTATACACCTTTTCTACACATTGAAGCAAATCAACTATACAAAATGCAGAAAACTATCTCAGTACAATAAGCCGTTTGTAAGAAAGTCCATGCTTATAATTATTATTATTATTAGCATCATAGTGGCAGTATTACAGAATCAAAAATAGTAGCAGTACCTTTGTCAAAAAACAGTTTAGGAAAAACTTACAAGTCCATATAATGCCAAAAATATTAGCTTTGAAAACAAGAAAAAGTACACAAAAGACATTTCAATATACATGTTTATAGGAGGACTACAACATCTGGAAAATACACATGTGTCCCTTTCAAGCAGTATAAGGTTTACCCCCCAAAAATATAAAATTAGAAGTAAATTAATAAAGGAGCGCTCATGGTTTTGAGATGCTTTTTGGTTGAAATACAGATCCCAGAGTTCACGTACGCAAGGACTACAGCGACAACCATGCTACAGAACTACAACCAAACAGGCTGTAGGGTCAGTGTGACGGGGGAATATAAATACTGAGAAAAATGTCCTAATGTTATGAGCAAAAGTTTAAAATGTAACATTTTGAGAATACAGTTGCAATTCTTATCAGAAAATGTTTAATTGTAAATTTACAAAATAATAAAATAATAATAATGTAATAGTTTGTTAGCTAGTCTTTCAAATTACAACTTAATTTGAAAGACTTTTAAAACTTTATTCTTCAATATTACTTTAACTATACGACTATTTTCTTGTAAGGTTGTGACTTTTTAATCAAAATTTCATGACAATCACATTATAACATTTTTGCATAAAATTACTGACTTCTCCCCATAATATTATGACGTGTTTCATGTCACAACTTCATCTTGAAATATTACACTATTTCTTCAAATTTTTGAAAAAATATTACAAGTTAATTCTTGAAATCTCCATACGTTTCTGTTTTTGGCTCTAACCCATTATAACAACTAAACCAAATCAGAGTTACAATAGTTTTAGACAAAGGATTGCATTTTTGCATCTGTGATTTTCAGCTTCAAGCTGAAACCAAAACATTTGCCAAAGAGACGTTTCATTTCAATAAAAACTTCTTTCGTAAAGTCATAATTTCTGTGACATACATACATAATGTGGGTATACGTGGTGATTATTTCAAACACTGCTCAGTAAGTCAGGCTCCACCTGTGAAATACCTCCCGTTGCCTCCAGCTGCCAGGCTGTGGAGTCTAGTATGGGTAGCTGTCAGGGAAAGCCAGTCCCTGGACGCGCTGCTCCCCGCCTTCAGCCAGGTATGGACCCTCCTCCTCGTAGCTGGGCAGGGGGAGGCCGTCTTCCTCGCTGGGGGGAGGGATGGCGTCCGGGTCGGCCTTCAGACTCGGCCTCTGGTTGTCTGGGAAAGCCATGGAGAAGAGCGCCTCTGGGTTGCACACAAACTTGTAGACGTACCTTTCCCCAGCCACCTGAAGGATGGGCCAATCAGGGGTGAGAGAAATTAAGAATGTTTGTTAAGAATTTAAAGTGATTAATTCAATGCAAATTTCAATAGTTTTGTGATTTTGGTTACATGAACTCAGATTTTATCCAGTAAGCACATACAAAGACCCTGACACACCAAGCTGATGGTCGGCCATCGGTCAATGCAATCAGTAAGCATCTGTCGCCCTAGTGTTTGTGGTCTGTCTTGCACCATTGGCTCTTGTCGGCCCTTGTCGACTTTTTTTTTTAGCCTATTCAGCCTGTTAATGGGTGTCAGGGACAGTGGAGCCCATTGGTGAATGACATCACTCTGACTGGCAGTTCGCCTCAGCACACGAGAGGAGAAACCGAAGTGAGGAAAGTAAACAAATGACTGAAGTCAAGAGGGCTTGAGATAAAAACAAACTTGTTATATTAGGTGGGATTCTTTTTTATTTTTGGCCACTGAGCGCTTCAGCAGAAATGGTTCTTAATTGTTTGTGTTATGTTCGTTAGCACACAGTAAACACACACAGTCATTTGTTCTTTCAACATCTGATTGTGTTGTTAATGTGCTAACTGGCTAACGAGCGTCTTGAATCCGCCCTGTTGGTCTTTTGGTTTCCCTTTCTGAATGACGAATACAGACTACCGCCACCTGCTGTTATGGAGAGTTATTTCCTCTCACGCAGGAGCAGAATGTACATGCTAGTTGGCCATCGGCTGTAGTCTTTGTGGTGAGTTCAGATGCAACTTTCTGGAAGAGGCACAGGCGACTTGAGGCCTTCGTCGGTTTGGTGTGTCTGGGCTTTAAGAGCACTGGAGGAGAGAGGTGAAACGTGCCTTTACCTTCTGCATGATGCCCTTCTCGTAGTAGTACCTCAGTGAGCGGCTTAGCTTGTCGTAGTTCATGGCCGGCCGATTCTTCTGAAGCCCCCAGAGCCGAGCCACCTGAACACAAAGATAATTTAATTTTTCATTTACCAAACCAGTCAACTTTAGGTTCATTTTCATCCTTAAAAGCCTTTTAAAACAGCCCTGGGGTTGTGCGATGACTGACCTCTTCAGGGTCAATTAGTTTAAACTCCATGTTGCGTCCCGTCCAGACTATCAGGTGTCCATTGGCCGGGTTTTCCAGCAGTGTGAGCAGGAACTGCCAGAGCTGCAAGGAGCCACGGCGCTGGTACGGCAAACCCTCCTGCTTCACTTTGGCT